CTTTTTTTTGCATGTTATAGGGCTATAGGTACAAGTAGGATATTGCGGTTTCAAAACATACATTTTTAAAATTTATCAATAGTGACATTGTAACACTATTATCTGTCATAAATCTCTGAATAACACCCCACATGTACATATTTTTTTTTAAAGTAGACAAACCAGGGTATTCAATATGGGGTATGTCCAGTCTTTTTTAGTAGCCACTTAGTCGAAAACACTGGCCAAAGTAAGCATTCATATTTGTTTGTGTGTGAAAAAAGTAAAAAAACTAAATTGAGCGCTAATTTTGGCCAGTGTTTGTGACCAAGTGGTTACTAAAAAAGACTGGACATACCCCATTTGCAATACCTTGGGTTGTCTTCTTTTGCAAATGGTATGCCATCATGGGGGTAATTCTCATTCCTGGGCTACCATACGCTCTCAAAGGCAACGTAACCAACCTGGCCATTTTCAATGTAAAATATTTGACCCATATATTTGACCTTGTAACTTTCAAAAATGCTATAAAACCTGTACATGGGGGGTACTGTTTTACTCGGGAGACATCGCTGAACACAAATATTAGTGTTTAAAAACTGGAAAACGTATCACAACAATTATATCATCAGTAAAAGTGCTGTTTGTGTGTGAAAAATGCAAAAAAAGTAACTTTCACTGACAATATCATCACTGTGATATGTTTTACTGTTTTGAATCACTAATATTTGTGTTCAGCGAAGTCTCCCGAGTAAAACAGTACCCCCCATGTACAGGTTTTAGGGTGTCGTAGAACGTTACAGGGTAAAATACAGTGCTAGCAAATTCAATTCTCTGGAATTTCGGCCTGGGTTGGCAGGCAGGTCCCTCAAATTGCAATCAATAAAATTACTGAATTATGTAAAAATATTACATAAATACGCACGTAGAATTTAAATATATATGCATATTTATATATTTGAAGTCTACGTGTATATTTATATAATTATTTATGTAATTTTGTATATGGACATATGTATATTTCTTATTATTTTTATTTATTTTTATATATATAGATATATATACAAATTCATTCTAAGTGTATTTTGATATAAATATATATATATTAATTTTAAAATAAAGTTAGAATAAAATTTCATATAGCTATATAATTTAATTTTTTTTTATTATTTAAATTTTTTTTATTTAATTTAAATTACTTATTTATATTTTATAATAATATATATAAATACAATATATATAGTTATTATATATATTATATATATACGTGTGTAATTTAATTATAAGTGTATTTTTATATTAATATAAGTACATATTAATATAAAAATACACTTAGTATGACATTATATATATATGATATATAGACATATATTATATAGATATAATATATGTCTATATATCATATATGTATACACATATATAATTATTTTTTTATTAACACTAACTTTATTTTTTTTTCTGATTTTACACTAGCAGGGAGACTGCCTGTCAGTACAGACAGTCCCCCTGCAGGTAGACACATGGACACCCATTGTGACCATGTGATCGCTGTGTTAAACGATCACATGGCCACAGGGGTCCTAATCTGCCGTGGGGAGACTGTCTGGGCTGCAGGCAGTCTCCCCACAACCGGAGCCACGCTGATCGCCGCCGGGGGAACGACGGCGATCAGGTAAGTAACTAGGACTGTTAGGACGGTTCAGGACAGTCAGCAGTCGGCAATGGGAAAAATGTCCTGGGTCGGTAAGGGGTTAAATACCTAACATAACAAATAATATAAAACACATGTAAGTTATTACAAAAACCCCTCCCACAATGTCCATATATGGAAGTTCCGTTTTTATTTCTCCAGACATTATTCCCAAAAGGAATGAATATTGATTTTGATATTGGACCTATTTTATAGATTTTTTAATTATACCTATTTTTATAAAATACTGGTACCCTCCTTTTTTTTATTCCATATGTGCTTCTCTTTTTCTGAATTTTTAAATAAAAGGACAGATCTTGGTGATTTATATTTATTTGTTGAGATTAGATTTTGAATAGTTTTTTTCTCATTCTATTACATTGTAAAAAATGTTTTATTGTGGTATTAATCTATCTATTTTAATATTCCTGCCCTTTCTTTGTTTGCCCTCTTCCTTTCCCTTTTCAAATATGGTGGACTTTTATTCTATGAACTGAGCTATTATGACAAGCTGAAATGCCACCTTCTCCCGAGTAGACGCAAACCAGAAGTGACGTCACAACGTAAACCAGAAGTGACGTTCCGTCTAATGACGGTAGTCACGCGACTTCCACAGAAGTCCTGCCCGTGCCGCCGTCTTGAAAAGGTCGGCCCTCATTGGATATTACTGGCGATATACCAGATATCACCATCTTGGAGGAGGAATAATAAAAACGGAACTTCCATATATGGACATTTTGGGAGGGGTTTTTGTAATAACTTACATGTGTTTTATATTATTTGTTATGTTAGGTATTTAAGCCTGTTATATTTATTTGTGTTTTATGCACCTGAGGAAGACCAGTATATTGGTCAAAATGCGTTGTGCTATTGCTTTTTATATTTATTTTTATGTAATTAAGAAATCATTTTGAGCTACATTTGGTTCCTGAAATTCTGTCCAGGTGGATTTGAAGCATCCTTTCTCCCTGGGGGACCATCACCACTGCGGCAATTTGTCGTTCTGGAATTACTTACCTGCTTTTTCAGTAGAGCCGACTTATATGGCTCTCTAAATTGTGAGTTTTTCCCGTTACACATATATCTGAATATTTTCTCATATATGTTGCCCTATGAAGGTTCTGTTATATTTATTACAGATCATTGAAAAATTATCCATTGTGTGCGCCAACCTCTCTTTTCTTCCATGCTTTATTTAATGTCACATTACACTGTGGGTATATCTCCGCATGCTGTGGGTATATCTCTACGTGCTTTGTAATGTCACATTACGCTGTGGGTATATCTCCGTGTGCTGTGGGTATATCTCTACGTGCTTTATTTAATGTCACATTTGCTGTGGGTATATCTCCGTGTGCTGTGGGTATATCTCTACGTGCTTTATTTAATGTCACATTACGCTGTGGGTATATCTCCGCATGCTGTGGGTATATCTCATGTGCTTTATTTAATGTCACATTACGCTGTGCGTATATCTCCGCGTGCCTGTTGGTGTAATTAATCTTCCTCTATATTGCAGGTGGGACAGCTTTGTGCTCCGTGTGACCTCATGTCTCCTCCGTCTCCTCATTCGCTTTGAGTTTCTTCCAGAGAACGAGCAGATCAGACAGTTCCTTCAGTCCTAGCCATCCCTGGGATATTGGTCTTACCACACTGTGAGGCTGCTCAGGTCTTCCATGCCACAGCATGTCTGTCCACATATTGGACAATGTGCCACACAGCTGCTCCTTTAAAGGAAGGTTACTTCTGTAGACTAAAATAAAGATTTTATTACTTATTCCTTTTACTTAATCTGAACCTAGGAAACGTGTTCTAGATTTATCAGATTAAAACATTGTAGAACTTATTCTGGATAATGTGTAATGAGCGGTGTAACCTCCCGTTAGTTCCCTTCCTTTAGCCGGTCAGGAACTCTTGCATGGTGACAGTTTTGGAGATTTAAGCACTGGACTCTGCCCATCTTGATTGAAAACAGGCCTATTTTATGCACCCATTCCACACAATGCACTTCCCTTAGTCCCAAGCAGGAGGGGGCTGGGTATCTCCTAGGGTGGGAAATGGCTAACAGTACACAGGGATACACATGAAAACACATTATATATCAGCGTAGAAAGTCTGGAGCTTGAGGCTCTGTACATCCCCGCAGTTAGTTCCATGGTGTTGCTTCATTTAGTCTGGCGAAATCAAACCTCGCCACTCGGGGGAGGAATGAGTTTCGACACCCAATCCGAAGAAAGGGCACGAAACTCTGTTGCACCAATCAATGTTCGGGGAGGAGAGGGGTTTCGCGGCCCAATCAGAAGACGTGGTGCAAAACCTGATTGTACCAATCCGCTGAAAGGTGTGAAACCAATTTGCGCTAATCAGCGCCCAGGGACAAGACGGATTTCGCCACCCAATCAAAATAAAGGGCGCAAAACCCTGTTTGAACGAGCGCTCCTTCTCGGATTGGTCGCTTGTGCCCCGTAGAGGTCCAATCAGCGCTCACTTGTGCCAACCACCCAGGAGAATGGCGCAAACCCAGTTTGCATGGGCCTCTGTCTCCTATTGGTCGGCACGAACTTCCAGGCAGCCAGCGGGGACTCTGAGGCCGTGAGACTGACTCACAGCTCCAGAGATTGCCTGCTGGCGCGCGTCCCTCTCTCTGGTGTATACCCCCACGCAGGTATCCGCCGGAGAGAGCGTTCTCCTGGGCAGCTACGAGCCTAGAAGGGGTAACAGTGATTACAGCTCCGTTGGGGAGCGGATAGGAAGGTCCTCAACATGGGGATGAAGTGCCGGACTGGTTCGGGAGACTAATGCTCCCCCTGGTGGCCGTTCGATGATACGAACCGGCGGCCACCCAGGGAAAACAAGGGGGGAGATGGGGAGGAGGGGTGATGGGGAGTGAGGGGGGGAAGAGGGGCGGATGGGGAGGAGGGGGGGAAGAGGGCCATGGGGAGGAGGGGGGAAGAGGGGCTATGGGGAGGAGGGGGAAGGGGGCCATGGGGAGGGGGAAGGGGGCCATGGGGGGGAGGAGGGGTCTGGGAGGAGGGGGGAAGGGGGTTATGGGAAGGGGGGTGATGGGGAGGCATGGAAGGGGAGCCATGGGGGAGGAGGGGGTGATGGGGAGCCATGGGGGAGTGAGGGGGGGAAGGGAGCTATGGGGAGGAGGTGGGGGGGGAAGGGCATGGGGAGTGAGGTGGGGGGGAAGGGAGGAGGGGAAGGGGAGCCATGGGGAGTGAGGGGGATGAAGGGGGGTTATGGGGAGTGAGGGGGGGTTATGGGGAGAAGGTGGGGTTATGGGGAGTAAGGGAGGGGGTTATGGGGGGTTACAGGTAGAAACCTGTAAGTGTAGTGTAACGGACCGTTTTGCACACAAGGGGTAAAAACCGTTTAGGCGATCAGCCCCCTTTCCAGAGATACAGGCACAGCTACTGCAGAACACCAAACTCCCCAACTGGATACAAAATAGCACTCCAACTCCCGAACTGGAACCTCCCAAATAGCTGCTAGCAGACGAACAGGAAAAGCAGACGAACAGCTTACACTCCTGGCAATCAGTCTCTAACAGCATACAGTGAATCCCCCCAAGAACGAGACAAGGCTCCGTGTTGAGGGTCAAGCAGTGGTCTGAGGTGCTGGCACACCCAGCTTGGTTTTTATTACAGTCTTGCAAATACAGGACCGCCCACAGGGAGGTATAAAACAACCAATCACATCACAGTTACATCCCACATATTCCCTCCCCTTATCCTGAGAGGAAACTCAATTATACATACAGTTAAAACACACTTTCTACCCAACTTTCATAACTCTAAAACCATACATCACATTCACATAAAATTACACATTCACAATCAATCCATTCAGGGGAACAACATATTAAAAAATGGCATGAATCAGACCAGGGGTTCAAAAGTTAGTAAAAGTATCTTTTGAGCCCTGGCTGGCACATGGCTATCTGGCTCAAACAGGTTTTACAGAGCCCTCTATCCTGGAGACAATGGGGAAAAGTAATCCAATTATCCAGGGATAGAGGCAGACTCCATTGAGCACATGGTTGCAAAAAGACATAAAACACTTTATGTATTCTAAAGTCACCTTTTACACATAACACACAGACATTTCACATATCCCCAGATAGCTGGGATCTGAGCGCACAAAACTACCGAATAGCGCTCAGATCCTATTCACACAGTTCAATTGCAATGGAGCCGAAGTCTTTAACTACACGAATGGGCTTCATGGCATAGCTATCTGGGTTAACACATTTACATAAAGTCTGGTCCATAGTCCAAAGGCAGCAGGCGGGCAGCCAGGCTTCTCCAATGCAATGTGGCGAGATTGCTCTCATCACATGTAGAATATCCCACTAGCTATAGTAAAGCTAGGATTCCCGGTTCCCTACAACACGAGTCGAGGCTGCGAGTTGAGGGTAAAACGAACTGGCTTTAATGGCACACAAGCATGGCAATTTATGCAAGTCCCCAGGTCCAGGGACAGCCCCCTCTGGACCTGATGGAACACAGGTACAACACAAGGATTCGACCAATCACATTACACTGTATCATTCAAAATAATAACCGCCCAGCTTGGAGATAATGAGTCCAACAGTTATACAATCTAGTTATCTCCAATCCCATCCTTTATTTTGTCCCAGAAAACAGCATAAAAATATATAACTTCAACATTTTGATGAGAATACAGCTCGTTCGACTATTCATTCGGTAGCTCAGATCTGAGCGCATCAGCTATACGAATTGCGCTCTGATCCCATGAACAGAACAGATGGTTTCTGTCATACAAAGTCTCATTCGTTGCTTTTATCCCGGGATGGCGGCCATGTTTTAAGGTCGTCAATGGACAGCGGGACCTTGACCTAAAACTCATGGAGCGAGCGTCGGCTACATATTTGCAAGAACTCCCGCTCTCAGTATGGTTGACCCAGCCGTTCGGGAAACGAATGGAGACTGTCTGGAAGGGGGTACTTAACCTGTGGTTAACCGCAAAATCAACATTCTAATTGAGGCCACACGCCAGGATAGAAACATAGAAACATAGAATGTGACGGCAGATAAGAACCATTCGGCCCATCTAGTCTGCCCAATTTTCTAAATACTTTCATTAGTCCCTAGCCTTATCTTATAGTTAGGATAGCCTTATGCCTATCCCACGCATGCTTAAACTCCTTTACTGTGTTAACCTCTACCACTTCAGCTGGAAGGCTATTCCATGCATCCACTACCCTCTCAGTAAAGTAATACTTCCTGATATTATTTTTAAACCTTTGTCCCTCTAATTTAAGACTATGTCTATGTAAGTGGTCCTGGTTCGTGAGTCTTTCGGTAGATTTTAGTTCGGGGAAATGTACACGAACGTGGATGCCCTTTAGACCGTCAATTAGGTTGTGGTTAACAGCAGACCGCAGCTCCTTTGGTGGTTAATTAGAGGCATGCTCCGCTCGTAAGGTGGACGGTTGTATGGTACTTTCAAAGGTGATCGGGGTTAAGTGGCGGCACACGCCAAGGACAGGGTGGTCCGTCGTTCATATACATGAATGTGTAGCTATAACTGTTCGTATAATGTGTTCGTACTGTCTGGATACCGAACAGAGTATTAGATGAACAAAAGGGGGTTACTTCTATAACAGTTTGGAGGGTTCTTGTAACAATGCTCCCTCCTTGTGGAACACTCTGGCAGACACTGTCTGACCCCTTTTCGGGGCAGACTAAGGCTGTCCAGACTGAGGCGTTATGCTGGACTGAGCTCGTTTTGTCGAGATAACCCGTCGGCATTGCCATTCTGTTTCCTGGGTCGGTAGGTGAAATTAAACGGCTGTAAGGATAAGCTCCAACGTAAAGGTCTGCCATTGTCCCCAGCAACCCGATTGAGCCATACCAACGGGTTATGGTCTGTAACCAGAGTGAACTCTTGTCCATACAAGTAGGGAGTCAATTTCTTTAGTTCCCACACCAGGGCCAAGCACTCCTTTTCCACGGCGGCATAGCTGACCTCGCGTGGCAGGAGTTTTCGGCTGATGTAGGCAATCGGGTATTCCTTTCCATCGTCTCCTACTTGGCTGAGGACGGCCCCCAGCCCGAACATGGAAGCGTCTGTATGGACGATAAAACGTTTATTAGGGGCTGGGGCAGCCAAGACAGGAGCATTAATTAGGGCACTTTTGAGGGTGTGGAAGGCTGTTTCACAGTGGGGAGACCACAGGACCTGTCGGGGTAGATTTTTCTTCGTCAATTCGGTCAGGGGTTTAGCAATAGAACTATAGTCCAGTACGAATCGTCTGTAGTACCTGACAGTGCCCAAGAAAGCTAGTACCTGGGTCTTAGTGTGAGGTGTGGGCCAATTTGCGACCGCCTCTATCTTAGCTGGCTCCGGTCGCTGCTTCCCGCATCCCACTCGGTGACCCAAGTACCGTACCTCAGCCATCCCAAAATTGCATTTTTCTGGTTTCAGTGTCAGGCCCGCGGCCCGAATCTGATCCAGAACCATTCCTACATGAGCTAGGTGTTCCTCCCAGGACTCATTGTGGATTGCTATGTCATCCAGGTAGGCACAGGCAAAATCCTGGAAGCCATCAAGGAGTCTATCCACCAAGCGCTGGAATGTGGCTGGGGCATTCTTCATCCTGAATGGCATGACCTTAAAGTGGTACAAGCCGAACGGGGTGACGAATGCCGACTTGGGGATAGCTTCCCTGGCCAGGGGGATTTGTCAGTAACCTCTACAGAGGTCAATGTTCGTTACGTAGTTTCCCCTGGCTATGCGGTCCAGTAGCTCATCTCCCCTGGCTATGCGGTCCAGTAGCTCATCTACGGTTTTATCATTGAGTTTCCAATAGTTCACACAGAATCTGATAGTGCCATCCATTTTGGGTACTAGCACCACTGGAGATGCCCAGGGACTATCGGAGGATTCAATGACCCCTAGCAACTCGTTTATCTATTTTTTCATCCTTGCCCTGACCGCTTCTGGGATACGGTAGGGGGCCTGTCTTAAGGATTGCTGTCCTGAGGTGTCTACTTGGTGGGTGGCAACTCCGTGTACCCGGGTTCCTTAGTGAATATCGAGTGTTTCTCTTGGCGCAGTTTGTGTAGCTGCTCCCTCTCTACTGGGTTAAGTCTGTCCCCTATCTGCAGTTGGTTCACTAACTCCGGGAGGTCCTGGTCTAACAAGTCGGGTATGAGCAGGCTATCGGGGTCTTCGTAAGCGGGGCTGCATATGGCTGCCACATCCTCCTGTCTCTCTAGATATTCTTTAATCCCTTAAGGACCAAACTTCTGGAATAAAAGGGAATCATGACATGTCACACGTCATGTGTCCTTAAGGGGTTAAGCATATTTACGTGGAATATCTTCTGCAGACTTTCATCGTGGCAGCTAGCAATCACGTATGTAGTGTCCCCGCGTTTCTCTACTACTTGGTAAGGTCCCTGCCAAGATGCTTGCAGCTTGTCTGCTTTAACGGGTTTGAGAACCATAACCTTTTGTTCTATACAAAAGCTCCTCCTCCGTGCCCCCCTGTCATACCAGACTTTCTGTCGCCTCTGGGCCGCCTGGAGGTTCACCTGGATAGACCTGGTTAATTGCTCCATACGGTACGATGGGGACCCCGGCATTCTCGGTCTCTCCCTCCCAGTGCTCACAGATAAGGTTCAGGGGTCCCCGTACCTTGCGTCCGTATAGCAGCTCAAAGGGAGAGAATCCGGTCGTTTCCTGGGGCACCTCCCGGTAAGCGAATAGGAGATGTGGCAGGAAGCGTTCCCAGTCTCTATATTCCTGGGTGAAAGTTTTCAGCATTTGTTTGAGGGTTCCATTGAACCTCTCACATAACCCATTAGTCTGCGGATGATACGGAGAGCTGACTAGGGATTTTATTTTGCAGACATGCCATAGCTGTTGCGTTAGTTCAGCAGTGAACTGGGTGCCTCTGTCGGACAGGATTTCCCTGGGGAATCCCACCCAGAGAACACCTGGACTAATGCATTAACTACGGTGTCTGCTTGGATGTTGGATAGGGCTACTGCCTCTGGGTAGCGAGTAGCATAGTCCACCACTGTAAGAATATTTCTCTTTCCGGATGGACTGGGGGTGGCGAGTGGTTCCACTAGGTCGATGGCTACCCGGCTAAAGGGTTCTTATATAATGGGCATGTTGACGAGGTGTGCCTTGGGGTGGTCTCCTCTCTTTCCCACTCTCTGGCAGACCTCGCAAGTATTACAGTAAGTCCTCACATCTGCATGTACCCCTGGCCAGAAAAAGGCGTCGGTAATAGTGTGGAGGGGTACGGGTGCCCGGCTAAGGGAATGTCGTGACCCACCTGGAGAATGTCTCGCCTATACTTGTGGGGAATGACCAACTGTCTCCTACGGTGCCCTTTTTTCTTGGTATGAAATTATACAACCTGCTCTGCTCCCATGCAAATGTCTCGTGGTCTGACCACCCAGTCCCTGTGTCTGCTCTTTCCCTACTTCTGGAGGGTCGGGTCAGTTTTAGTCTCAGCCTCAAAGGCTGCAGGCGTATCCCAGGGTAATGGTGAAGGGCAATTAGTCAGTCGGGGTTAGTCTTACCTGAGTCTCCCGCACTGGCGAAGGGTCTTGGGTCCTTCCTGCTTGTGACCAGGATGTGCCTCCCGGTGGTAGGAAGGGGCATATGCTGAAGTCATGGGGCCCAGGTCGTTGCCCAGTAAAACCTCAGCTGGCAAGTTATCCACGATTCCCACCCTCACAAGTCCTTTACCCGCACCCCAGTCCAAATGTACTTTGGCCATTGGTAGCTTGTATATATCCCCTCCAGCCACGGTGCTTTTGGAGCGCTTATGTTCTGGAACCAGGCAGCCTTGCACCAGGGTGATAGTATCCCCGGTGTCTCTTAACCCCTGAGTAGGGCGGCCGTCCAGCAATACCTCTTGTCTGTGGTGTTGTCGGTTGCTGCATACACGGGGTCGGCTTCGTGGAGAGGTCCCAGATACTCTTTATCAACACAAAAAGCATGGTCTGGCCGGGTATTTCCCGAAGAGGATGAATTATAGTTCCGGAAGGGATAATTGTTATTCAGGGGGCAATTGGCTATGAGATGCCCCGGCTGTTTGCATTTGAAGCATGTGGGACGTGAGTGGTTGGGTGGTCCGGTGTATCGGGTAGGTCCTGCTGGCACCGGCGTACGAAACTCCGTTTGTGGGCTAGTTCGGTGATTGTCTCTATGTTCGGTATGTATCACCATTCGGGAGTTATTGAATTTCCTGTACCTAAGAGTCTCGGTGTTTGTTGGCCAATCTCGCGGCTTCGTTGAGGTCATTGGGACGTTGGTCTTTTAACCATTCTCTGTCTTTCTGCTCTAGTCCATCATAGAAATGTTCTAACAAAAATAGTTACAAAATCTCGACTGCAACATCCGTTAATCCAATGAGTAGCAGCCCACCGCATTCGGTGCGCCCATTCGGCAAGTGTGTAATTCGGCTTCTTTTTCGTGTTGCGGAACTGCCTGCGATAGGTGTCGGGGGGTCACCGCGTACTGCCTCAGCAGAGTGTCTTTTACTAGCGAGTATTGGGCCACCTCTTCAGTGCTGAGAGTCCTAAAGGCTTCCATCGCTTTCCCTGCTAGCTTCCCCACAAAAATATGAGGCCATTTGTGGCAAACCTAGCCACTTTAGATTGTGCAGTTATATGTCTAAAGGTTGTCCTAGAAAGCTGGTCCAATTCTGTTCGTTTCAGTATTTACTTAACCTTGTAATAGAAAGCATTCGTATTCTAGCGGCCGAAAGCTGCTAGCATTCATATGATAGTTTCGCGAACAGTGACTTTCCACACTGTCATGTGGCTCCCATTAACCGATTGCAACATTGGAGCAATCAGCTGCTAATGGATTTCCCGGGTGGCCGTCGTTTGGCTACCGACCACGAGGCAGCGGCCATCTTGGATTTCCCTTTTGCCCAGCAGTGTTTAGTCGTCGAGTGCCTGGAACTAAAATCGGCCACTTGACGGCACGAACACCGCTGGACTTCCAAACCTTTCGGGAGCGCCGGTCTTTCGGTACTTTTCCCCAATTGTATATTCGTGACTTTTATGATGAATGTATATTAAAGTGTGTTTCGTGCGGCGTTCGGTTATTTATGCTGGGATCTGAGTGGTACTTTCACAAAGTGTGCGCTCAGACCCCAGCTATCTGCCGAACGATCATTTGGTACAATAGCACAAATAAAATTTAAGTTACTGATTTTTATGTGAAAAGACGGTTCTGCTGTACGGAGGGATAATCCACTTAACAGGAGGGTTTTGGATATTGCCTTCATTTTCAGCGCTTTACTTGAATTAACACAAAAATATATAACTTTAACATTATTTGTGTGATTCTACTAAATGACCGTTCGGTAGATAGCTGGGGTCTGAGCGCACACTTCGTGAAAGTACCGCTCAGATCCCAGCACAAATAACCAAACGCTGCACGAAACACACTTTATTATACATTCTCATTAAAAAATACTGAGGGAATAAAGGGAATAAGGCCGATTTTAGTTCCAGGTGCTCGACGACCAAACACCACTGAGCTAACAAAGGATCCAAGATGGCCGACCGCCGCGTGGTCGGTAGCCCAACGACGGCCACCCAGGAAAGCACTTAACCACCGATTGCTACAATGTTGCAATCGGTTAATGGGAGCCACACGACCCTCTGTGTGTGGACTCCCATTCGGTACTTTTATTTGTTTCACGAACAGTGTGTAAAGTCACTGTTCGTGAAACTACCATATGAATGCTAGAGGCTTTCGGCCGTTAGCATACGAATACTCTCTATTGCAAAAATACACAAATACCTCCATACACACAATAAAAGCAGCTTTTACAGACAACCTTCAGATGTTACACAGTAGTACCTAAAGTGGCTAGGTTTGCCACAGGTCTGTAAATGTTACTACTAGACAGCTGGTAGTACCCCAGAAATATCGACAGGAACTCCTTAGGATCGCTCATGACATTCCGTTGTCTGGGCATCTGGGTATGACCCGAACTAGATACCGACTTACCCATGCATTTTTCTGTGAGGCAATACTGCCAGACGTGTGACATCTGTCAGAGAGTAGGCAAAAGGTGTGACCGACACAAGGCCAAATTATGCCCGCTACCCATCATAGAAGAGCCGTTTAGTAGGGTGGCCGTAGACATAGTAGGACCCTTACCCAAACCCAGTCCCTCTGGCAAAATACCCCGAGGCAGTAGCCCTCTCTAATATCCACGCCGAGACGGTGGTCGAAGCCTTAATGAAAGCCTTCTCCCGGGTGGGGTTCCCCCAGGAGATAATCTCAGATAGGTGTACGCAAATCACGGCCGAAGTAACCCACCAACTATGGAAAATATGTGGCATTAAGCCTATTGTTAATTCTGCTTACCATCCACAGTGTAATGGGTTATGTGAAAGGTTCAATGGAACTTTAAAGCAGATGCTCCGTACATTTGGAGAGGCCCATAAGGACTGGGAGTGATTCTTACCCCATCTGCTGTTCGCCTACAGAGAGGTACCTCAAGAGTCCACCGGGTTTTCCCCCTTTGAATTACTGTTTGGGAGAAGGGTGAGAGGACTCCTAGAGTTAATTAGAGAACATTGGGAAGGGGAAAGCAGTGCAGATACCCATTGTACCATTTGTGCTGGAGTTCAGGGACCGCCTGGAGGCACTAACCCACACCGTACGGGTAAACCACCAAGCGGCTCAACAACGGCTGCGCCGATGGTATGATAGGGGAGCCAGGGATTGCAGCTTTCAAGTGGGACAAAAAGTTTTGATTTTAAAACCTGTCCGCAATGACAAGCTGCAGGCCGCCAGGCAAGGCCCCTACAGGGTGGTGGAACAGAGATGTGACACCACCTATGTAATTGGCCCCTGCTCGGGTAGGGAAGAGACGTATGCTCCACGTGAATATGCTCAAACCCTACCATGAGAGTGGATGTGGCAGCTATATGTGCATCAGCCTCTGAGGATCAGGAGAATCTTCCGCTACCCGATTTATTAGAGCGAGAAGATAAGGCAGAGACCTCTACAGGTGTTCAGCTGGGGGAGCGGCTAAGTCTTCATGAGCGTGCCCAGGTACAGGAGTTAATTGCGACTAAGGGAGCCACTTTCTCCAATTTACCAGGGTACACCCTCACCGGGTAGAGACCCCATTAGAGCTACCTATGCGGCAGACCCCATATCGTATCCTGGAAGCAGTCAGGGAACATATGAGAAAGGAAATTGAGGAGATGTTGCAGCTAGGGGTTATTGAACATTCCGATAGCCACTGGGCATCGCCGGTAGTGCTAGTTCCCAAGAATGATGGCACAAAACAGTTCTGTGTTGACTACCAGAGGCTAAATGACAAGAGAGTGTCTGATGCCTACCCGATTCACCGGATAGACGAGCTGCTAGATAAGATGGCACGAGGCCAGTACTTCACTATGATAGACTTATGCAAAGGGTACTGGCAGATTCCTTTAGCCGAGGTTGCCATTCAGGATGAAAAATGCTCCGGCTACTTTTCAAAGGATGGTAGATCGGCTACTGGATGGGTTCCAGGAGTATGCATGTGCATACCTGGACGATATCGCCATATATTGCCAGACGTGGTCAGACCACCTGCGACATATTGTAGCTGTCATTGACCGTATTGGAGAGGCAGGGTTGACGCCAGGGCCGGACTGGGAAAAAAATTAGGCCCGGGCATTTTTCAATCAGAGCGGCCCCCTAAGAAAGGGGCGGGGCCAGAGAGTGTGTGTTTTGTCATCACTAATGACAACACGCCCCCTCTCAGTGAGCATGTTGGTTCAATGCCCAGAGCCCTGCTGAAGAGCTCTGACATTAGAAAAAGACCCTGAATTTGTTCTGCGCAGCGCAAGCAAATTTAATAACATGCTTGTGCTGTGTTTGCTTTTAAATTGTCTCTGGTGTTTCCACAAGTGGGATACCAGAGGATAAAAGGGCCAGGAAAGTGCATGGTGCATATGTTTGGAGCCTGCTTGTGGGATTGCATGTGTGTAGAGAGTGGTGTGGTATTGTATAAATAGGTCAATTTAATTTGTGTTTGTGGTGTAAT